TAGTTTGCATTTAGTGCTGGGCCTGGCCTTTACCACCAAGCACATGAGCCAGCTGATATGTTAGAGAAGCCAGGTTGATGAGTTTGAATGACTATATTAAATCCCTCCTCATATCTGTAAGGATCTTTGGTTGCTTTGGGAAAATCTTTGACTTTGGCTCACAGTTCAGCTTTAGTCCAGGAAATTTAAGAAATTAAGGATTTAAGAGGGAGGAGATCGAGATGATAGAGTAGAAGACCAAGATAATCTCCCACTATGAACACATCTAATACATCTCTGTGTGAAACCGTTCCCACTGAAAACAAACTGGAGACTGGCAGAGAGAAAGATCCACGTGGAATCAAGTAGAAAGGGAAGAGAAGCGATCGGGTTGGGACTGGTGCCCCTAGGAAGGAACATAGAAGAGTTGAGGATTACACAGGCTAGGAGATCCTCCCTGGGGAGTGAGCAGTTTGGACAACATATTGGGCACCCCTGCCCTGGGGTCTGATACTGAGGAAATGACTCTTCATAATTGATTTGAAAATCTGTGGGACTTACAGGAGGGCTCGAAGAAACCTAGATTCCACACACAGGCATGCTTACTCCTAGGATCAAGTAGGAAGAAGCAGACTGAAACTGCCCAGGGCCCTGGCCCACTTCCCACATCGACTGCCCACTCCACCACTCTAGCTCCAGCGCAGCTCCACTAGGGTGAAGTCTGTCATAGCCAAGGAGAGTGCGCGATGGTGGAGATCAGAGACAGCTGGCACCTGGGATTCATCTGAATGGGATGAGCATGACCATTTCTGGCACTTGCAGAGATGATGAGTCAAAAGCCCTCTGAAGCTCTAATTGATAGACAAGGACTGCCCCAGTGCTTGCCCTGACCACACCAGGTGTCCACTCTGACCTCTCTCGCTTCAACACTACTCCCTTCTAGGATGAAAGTGATGGGGAAGTACACACACTTAGAGGAAATAGAACCAATTTGAACTTGACCCTCAGGACTTCTGCCTTAGCACGCTGGACCTCTGGGAGAGCAAACTCCAGGGGATGGTGAAGGACAGGGAAGCCTGGCGTGCTGCAGTCTAAGGGGCTGAAAAGTTGGATATGACTGAGCAATGAATAGCAACAACCACCCTGGACCTGACCCTAACCCCAGTAGGGCAGTGTTGGCCGCTGAGCACAGCAGAGGCCCCAGCTCACACCTGGCTATGGCCCTAGCTTCTCCATCTCCAGCTCCACTTCCCCCCTCCGTGAGAGTTACCAGCACACCCGAGGGGAAGACGCCACCTGTGCTGACTCCAGATCCAGCTGTCTCGCCAAAGTCACTGGGCACACACAGACTGATGGTGTTGCTCCCACACGAGGAAAACCCTTCAAGACTGGGACAGGTAGCTGCTTTTTTTGTTTGTTTGTTTGTTTTTTTACCTAATTTGATAGAGACAGAGAAAGTTAAGCAAAACAAGAAGGCAGAGGAATTTGTTTCTAATGAAAGAACAAAAGTGTCTGAAAAATGACTAATAAAACAGAGATAAATAATTTATCAGATGAAGAGTTCAAAGCATTAATTATAAAAATACTAACTGAACTAGGGAACAGCAAAAACAAACACAGTGAGAGTTTTAACAAGGAACTAGAAAATATAAAAAAGAACCAATCAGAGTTGAAGAACACAATAACTGAAATGAAAAATACCCCAGAAGGAATTAACAGCAGGTGAAGTGGTACCAAAAAAGATGTCATTTTCATCATAGGCAACTGGAGTGCAAAAGTAGGAATTCAAGAGATACCTGGAATAACAGGCAGGTTTGGCCTTGAAGTACAAAATGAAGCAAGGCAAAGGCTAACAGAGTTTAGCCAAGAGAACCTCCTCTTCCAACAACACAAGAGATGACTCTATACATGGTCATCACCAGTTGGTCAGTACCAAAATAAGACTGATGATATTCTTTGCAGCCAAAGATGGAGAAGCTCTCTACAGTCAACAGAAACAAGACTACGAGCTGACTGTGGTTCAAATCATGAACTCCTTATTGCCAAATTCAGACTTAAATTGAAGAAAGTAGGGAAAACCACTAGACCATTCAGGTATAATCTAAATCAAATCTGTTACAATTATAAAGTGGAAATGAGAAATAGATTCAAGGGATTAGCTCTGATAGAGTGCCTGAAGTATTATGGATGGAGGTTCATGACTGTACAGGAGGCAGTGATCAAGACCATCCCCAAGAAAAAGAAATACACAAGGCAAAATGGTTGTCTGAAGAAGCCTTACAAATAACTGAGAGAAGAAGAGAAGCTAAAGACAAAGGAGAAAAAGAATGGTAGACCCATCTGAATGCAGAGTTCCAAAGAATAGCAAAGAGAGATAAGAAAGCCCTACTAAGTGATCAATGCAAAGAAATAAAGGGAAACGATAGAATGGGAAAGACCAGAGATCTCTTCAAGAATATCAGAGATACCAAAGGAACATTTCATGCAAAGATGGGCACAATAAAGACTGAAACCGTATGGACCTAACAGAAGCAGAAGATATTAAGAAAAGGTGGCAAGAATACACAGAAGAACTGTACAGAAAAGATCTTAATGACCCAGATAACCATGATGGTGTGATTACTCACCTAGAGCCAGACATCCTGAAGTCTGCGGTCAAGTGAGCCTCAGGAAGCATCACTAGAAACAAAGCTAGTGGAGCTGATGGAATTCCAGTTGAACTATTTCAAGTTCTAAAAGATGATGCTGTTAAAGTGCTTCACTCAATATGGCAGCAAATTTGGAGAACTCAGCAGTGGCCACAGGCCTGGAAAAGGTCAGTTTTCATTCCAATCCCAAAGAAAGGCAATGCCAAAAAATGTTCAAGCTACCGCACAATTGCATTCATCTCACACACTAGCAAAATAATGCTCAAAATTCTCCAAGTGAGGCTTCAATAGTACGTTAACTGAGAACTTCCAGATGTTCAAGCTGGATTTAGAAAAGTCAGAGGAACCAGATATCAAATTGCCAACATCTGTTGGATCATCAAAAGAACAGGAGAGTTCAGAAAAACATCTACTTCTGCTTTATTGACTATGCCAAAGCCTTTGACTGTGTGGATCACAACAAACTGTGGAAAATTCTTTAAGAGATGGGAATACCAAANCAGAAAAACATCTACTTCTGCTTTATTGACTATGCCAAAGCCTTTGACTGTGTGGATCACAACAAACTGTGGAAAATTCTTTAAGAGATGGAAATACCAGACCACATTACCTGCCTCCTGAGGTATGCAGGTTAAAAAGCAACAGTTAGAACTGGACATGAAACAATGGACTGGTTCCAAACTGGGAAAGGAGTACGTCAAGGCTGTATATTGTCACCTTGCTTATTTAACTTATATGCAGAGTACAGCAAACACAACTGAGCAACTGAACTGAACTAAACTGAATTAAGCACTATAATCAACTGTGGACTGGCCAGTGGGCTTCTTTTTGTAAAGATGAAATACAGCCATGGGCAGAAAACAATGCAGGTGATTCCAGCCAGGAATATCTAGTCTGGAAAATTTTCAAAGGGCTACAGGTTGCATAACCTAACATCCGCTTTATCAGGACAATGTCTCCCAAGCTATTTAGGAAGGTCAGTTGGGAGAAGGTTTTTGTTTGTTTGCTTTTTAATTTATTTATTTATTTTAATTGGAGGCTAATTACTTTACATTACTGTGGTGGTTTTCACCATACGTCAACATGAATCAGCCATGGGTGTACAGATGTCCCCCCATCCTGAATCCTCCACTCACCTCCCTCCCCACCTCATCCCTCTGCATTGTCCCATGAAGCTTTGAGTGCCCTGTTTCATGCATTGAACTTGCACTGGACATCTAGTTTACATATGGTAATTAGGAGAAGGTTTTCCAACCTGTTTCAGTTAGTAACTATAAGTAACAAACATGAAGTGTTTCTTTTCTTACTCATAAAAGTTCAAAGAGAAACATAGGACTGATACAGCAGCTCCAGTGAATTCAGGGTCCTAGGCTCTTTCAACCTGACCAATCTAGCAATCCTCCAAGTGGCTTCCACCTTAAAAGTTGCCCATGGTTCCAAGATGACTGCCGGAGCTCCAGATATCACATTCACATTCTAAGCAGAATGAATGGAAGGGTAAGGAGCAAAAACGGTGTTCTCCCCAATTGAGTCAGACCCTCTAAAAGACAATTTCCCAACATCTTATATATCATGACCACCCCTAGCTGTAAGGAGAATAGATACTGGCTGGGCAACTAGAACTCTCTCTATGCATATTTCCCGAGCAGGTTTTTATGCTGTTTAAAACCTGCTTTGGAAATGAATGCCTTCTAGAACTTTCATTTACCATGTTACACATATAAATACCATTTTATTTTTCTTCTCTAAACGCCTACTTTTCATGAGAACTCGCTTTTGCCAACCTCATTTTTACGTCCATAGTGTGCTTGTCAGGCGTCTACCCCTGCACTTGGGTAGCAGTTATTGCTCTCACCCCACTTCGCATTGGAGTGCTGGGTGCAGCTAAGCTAATCGGTCAGTGGGGCTTTTAGATGTCACAGTGATGCTCTCTTTGATCTTCATTTGAGAGTTACCAACTCCCTCACTCCGTGGAAAGTGCATGCTAAGTTGTTTTAGTCATGTCTGACTCCTTGCGACCTTATGGATCATAGCCCACCAGGCTCCTCTGTCCATGGAATTCTGCAGGCAAGAATACTGGAGTGGGCTGCCATGCCCTCCTCCGGGGGATCTTCATGACCCAGGGATCCAATCCACGTCTCTTACATCTCCTGCATCAGCAGGTGTGTTCTTTACCATTCATGTCACGTGGGAAGCCCCCTTGGAGGGTAGACACTCCCCATAGATAGCTCACCAGTCTGAAAAGCTCTGTTATACTTTGTCTCAGAGACAGGGAGCTGAGATCAGTGCCTCCAGAGGTCATTTCCAAGTCTCCAAGCCTGCCCTGGTCCCCGATGGCCCGTGATGAGGCTGGGCTCCCACGATCTTTTGCAGTTATTCCCTACTATGTGTCAGTCACCACGGGGAAGCACAGGGACGCAGCCACCGATAGCCGGGCCTACGTCATCCTCATTGGGCAGGAGGACGAGCGCAGTAACCGCATCTGGCTGGACTATCCCCGGGGGAAGAAGGGCTTCAGCTGCGGCTCCGTGGAGGAGTTCTATGTTGCCGGCTTGGATGTGGGCATCATCAAGAAAATAGAGGTGCTGGGCTCTAGGGCCTCAGGGCGGTGGCCCTCAGGGAAGGAAGGAGCTGACCTGTACTCGGGTGGGAGGCTGAGTGGGCCTGACCTGGGCCCCGCTCAGAACAGGTAGCATAGGAAGAGCTCCTGGCCTCTGTCATCAACTGGCTGGGTGACCTTGGATGCCTCACCTGCCCCTTCAGGTCCTTTCTCCACCCACCCAGAGGGCATGTCTATGTATTAGTTTTTTTTTTAATTGCTCTGTAACAAGTCACTACAAACTTAGTAACCTAAGGCCACACAAATGTATGGCCAGGAGTCCAGGCCTGGGTTAGCTGTGTCTTCTGCTCAAGGTCTTACTGGGCTGAAGTCAAAGTTGCCGCCAGGGCTGTGGTCTCGTCTGAGACTTGGAACCGAGGCGATGGCGTCACCTCCCGTGTCTTCGACCTCCTGGATGCCATGGTGGTGAACATCGGGGTGAAGGTATAAAGGGCACCTGGGTGTGGGGATGGTGGGGCATGGCAAAGGGAGTGCTGGGTGAAGGATGTGAGCACAGGGGAGACGGAAGTGAGAGAAGGAGCAGACCCATCCCTGGGGCATTGGCCGGGGCTGCAGCCCTTTGTACCAGCCAGACCCATTTTGCTGGGAGCCAGGAGACGCAAGTGTCTTCTTGTCGGCAGCTGTGTGACCTTGGGCAGGTCATCTGGCCTCTCTGGGCCTTGGTCTTCTCACATGTGTGTGTGTTAGTTGTTTAGTCATGTCCGACTCTTTGCAACCCCATAGACTGTAGCCCACCAGACCCCTCTACCCACAGGCTTCTCCAGGCAAGAGTACTGGAGTGGGTTGCCATTTCCGTCTCCAAAAGGAACTATAGAAAGAAAGTGAAGTCGCTCAGTCGTGTCCGACTCTTTGTGACCCCATGGACTGCATCCTACCAGGCTCCCGCATCCATGGAATTTTCCAGGCAAGAGTACTGGAGAGGGTTGCCATTTCCTTCTCCAGGTCTTCTCACATAGCACATGGAAATAATGCTTCCTCTCCTCTCCCATGTAAGGTATTGATGAGAACTAACGAGACCATGAACAGGCCATGAAAAGCATGCTCTACATAGATGTATGGAGTCATTTTCTCCAAAGGATGTTCCGTTGACACCAGTAGGCCAGTGATGGGGACAGATGGCATGGGTCTCAGTGCGGGGAGTGCTGTCTGCCCAAGACCCCCCTTAAGTGGAAAAGGCTGGAAGGCAGGTACTCCGAGTGCCTGTCCCAGGTCCACCTCTACCTGGCCAATGACCTGGGCTGAGTTGTATGAAGTTACAGGTCGGTGCCAGGCAGGAAGCAGAGTGCCTGGGTGCTGGACCCAAGGACATATGGTCAGCTGATGGCCCAGAGGCTTCTGTGTCACGTGACCTTGCAGACTTCTCTTTCTCTGAAAAACTGTGGGGGTCAACAGAAGGTCCCAGCCCTCATCTCTGTTGCTGAATCCAAATCAGTGGGCTACTAGATTTAGGTTGGAACCTGTCCCACAATGGTAAGAAGACATCGCCCTGGACCTGAGTGTGCCGTGCCTGTATTATATGTGGAAACAAGGAAGGACTGAGTCATCGGCTCTAAACTCTATTTGGGTAGGAGTGTGGATGCCTGCCCCTCTCCTTCCTGCTGGAGAGCCGAACTTCCTGCAGCACAGACACCCCCTCCCTTGCTCAGCCATCTGCGTCTATGGCAGACGGTCAGTGGGGGAGAGCACACAGTTCTTCCGGGGACCTCTGTCCTGACCCAGTTCCCGGCATGCATGTGGGCGTGTGTGTGTGTGTGTGTGTGTGTGTGTGTGCGTGCGCGTGTGCCACCCCCAGTGCACATTCACACCCCGTCTCGGTACAGCTCACCTCCCTCTGGGCTCTTTAGTCTGTGGAAATCCAAACCCTCACACCCCAGTTATTCATGTTACAAAAGAACACAGATTTGTCACTTCACAAAGAACCCGAGGGCTATATGTGGAAACAAGGAAGGACTGAGTCATCGGCTCTAAACTCTATTTGGGTAGGAGTGTGGATGCCTGCCCCTCTCCTTCCTGCTGGAGAGCCGAACTTCCTACAGCACAGACACCCCCTCCCTTGCTCAGCCATCTGCGTCTATGGCAGACGGTCAGTGGGGGAGAGCACACAGTTCTTCCAGGGACCTCTGTCCTGACCCAGTTCCCGGCATGCATGTGGGCGTGTGTGTGTGCGCGCGCGCGTGTGCCACCCCCAGTGCACATTCACACCCCGTCTCGGTACAGCTCACCTCCCTCTGGGCTCTTTAGTCTGTGGAAATCCAAACCCTCACACCCCAGTTATTCATGTTACAAAAGAACACAGATTTGTCACTTCACAAAGAACCCGAGGGCTTTTGGACTGGCCATCTCCCCAGGACATCTGATATCAGACCGGAATTACAAAAGCCTGTTTCTGTGTCTCTTTCTGGAAACACATCTATGGCATAAAAAGAGATGGGTCTGTGTAAAGAAGAGAAAAAAGATGGACCTGGAGAAGACAGGAGTCTGGTGAGCCCAGTCTTAAGGGGCCAGTCTCCACGGGGCCACGAGTGCTCGCTTTGATCATTTTGTTTCTGAGTCTGCTGTGTAAGAGTGAGTAGTCAGGCTTCTGCTTTTGTTCCCGTAGCTCTGTGCCCACCACACACACCCTTGTCCGGTGGTCTAAGAGGATTTTCCTGGGAAAGCAAAGTGTAGTTCAGTTATTCCCCCGGCAAACATGTCCTCCTGGCCAGGCCCAAAATACTGTTTCTAACCTTGCAATGTGGTGGTGAAGGTTCTCGGTGCTGCCTGAAAAGGACAATGTCAGGGGTGTAGTCACTGACATGAATAACTTGGGTTCTGAATCTGAAGGCAACTGGTGGTGGGAATCCAGCATCTGCGACAGTGATATTGCGGTGATATTGGGAGCCCCTAGGGAAAGGAGGGGCTGGCTGTGGGTACACGCAAGGAGATGGTCAGTATGGCGTGTCCTTGGCTGTGGGTGCAGGCCTCTCCTGAACCTCTGAGACCTCACTGGGCACCTGGCTAGAGGCTGTGGCATAAGAGGCCAGGGGCCAGAGGACACTCCAGGTCAGGGGTGAAGATGGCCCCTCTTGCCCCGAGGCCGCCCCTCGGAGGAAGAACAGAGCCTGGGGCCTCGGGGAAGGCACCACGCTGATGGGAGCGGGCTTTTCTCGCCTCCTCTGGCAGAGACAAAGAGAACACACCCTCTTTGGAGCAAACCTCAGGCCAAAGGGCAAAACTCCAGTCTAAAGTGAAAAGCACCTACCTTAGGTGGCTAGCCCACCTCACAAGCAAAAGGAGGCAGAGGTCCCTCAACCGTCAGCCCCGACACACTCCCCATCACCGATGCGCAGGGTGTGAGCTGGCTGCGACACATAGGAGGGACAGTCCCCCAGAACTGCTGCGGCCCCTTGATGCCAGGTCCAGAGTGGGCACCAAGGCGAGGTGTCTGTCGCTTTCACAGCTCTGCATCATGCGTATCTCTGTTTACAGAGAGGAGGCAGAGGCTGGAGAGGGTGGGACACCTGCCCAGGTTCCACAGCTAGCAGGGGATGGCCCTGGGGTTCCAGTGGCGCCCTGCATGGCCCCAAAAGCCACTGTCCAGCCAACACATGCTGCTGGCATGAACGGAATTAGGTTGGGCTTCTACGAACAAGGAGATCGATTAATGCTGGGGCCATCGGTCACGTTCATACTCCACACATGTTCTCTCTCAGAAACTGAACTCTCTAGCCCTGAGCTGGGCACATCTGGGGACAGGGACAGTGACATGGCCTGGCTCTTGCTCTCCAGACACTCGCGGTTGGTTAGAGGGAGGGATCTTTTCAGAGNCTGTGTGATTCCTCCCTCCTAGAATGCCTTTCATCTACTCTCTCTGTTGCAAGATTGTTCTAGTCCAAAGGCTAGCCCTCCTTGATCACCTCAGCCCATAGTGCTCTTTCCTTCCCTCCTTCTGTCACTGTGAAATGTTTATTGTAACGTCTGGAGGTTTGTGGATAGCACTGTGTCATTGTGAATCTCCTGCTTTCATTCTTTTTACTGCAGTAATGTAACCTGTTCACATTAGGGGGAGCTGGCTGAAGGGAACACAGAAACCTACTCTATTTTTGTAACTTGCCTACAAGTTCAAAATGATTGCATAAAAGTGAAAAAAAATTCAAATATTAAAAAACAATTGAACACCCATATCAGGCACTGTCTCAGACACTGGAGAGACAGTACAACCAGGAAGAAAAGATGCTCAAACTCGTGAAATTTAACACTTGAGGGGACCACAACAACACGGACCCTGATATGGGCTTATTTAGTGTTGGACGTTTTTCTAAGCCCTTTGAATGTATTGACACACTTAGTCCTACCTACAACTTTATGAGGACTGTTATTATCATCCCCATTTTACAGATGAGAAAACTGAGACACAGCAGAGTCAAGTCATGCTGTTCAAGGTCCCATAGCCAGTAAGCTTTGGCCCTGGGCAGTGCATTCAGGTGGCCCCAGTCTTAAGCCTTAGGTTCTACTTCCTCTTAAGATAGTTATTAGTAATGACAGTACTGGTGGACCTCTTATAGTGCTTCCTGTCTGCGCCTTTCATTAAATCCCCAACTTAGTCCTAGGTTTTGTTTGGTTTTCTGTGTTCGGCCATTGTCCCCCAAACCATCCCTGACCCCTGATATCTTAAGCATCAGAGGGCAGAGACCCAGAACCCAAGCGTAAGGCTTGTACAACCCACCCACAGCCACTCACCTCTGAACCCACACTGCTGCCTCCCACAGATCTTGCCCAGCTTCTTAACAATGTCTAACACCCTTCCATTAAAGCTGGAGGGCAGGATCCTTTCTGAGCTCTCCCAGCTCCTGCCTCTGGCCTTGCATGTGTCGGCCACTTAATAAGTACGTCTGGAGAGTGGCGGAGGTAGGGATGGGAGGGATGTTGCTTGGGGAGATGAAGTTGCTAAAGCTCTTGGGGGCCAGCTAGAGGCTTCTTCTCATGGACAGAGCAGTCCGTGAGAGTGGGGACTCTGCTTATCTTATGCAGCTTATGTCTGGGGGGATCCAATGACAAGAGTTTTGGCGTCTCTTCTTTTAGCACTCCTATGCTCTTATTATGCAACTCCTATTTCCTCCTGGAACTCTCTCCTGAGCAGGTCTCCCCTGATAGTAATTGTAATAACGGTTAACATTCAGTGAGCACCTACTCCCTGCCAGGCTCCATTGTAAGTGCTCTCTGTCTCTATCTCTCTCTATATAGAGACAGAGCAAGTTAATATGTACATATAATGATATTTATATTAACTATAATAATAATGCAACTATATATATTAACTCACAACAAATAAAGTGCCTGAGGCATAGAAAGGTGAAGTAACTAACGCCCCAAGATCACTCAGGTAGTCAGCAGGGAAGCTGGGATTTGAACTCATGTAATTGTAGAAATAAAACGGACGTCAAATGAGAACAGAGGCTGTATCTTTCCAGCTTGCTACAGCAAGAGTGTGAGCACCATCACTCAGTTTGGCAGAGGCCCAAGGCTCTCAGGATCCTGGAAAAGCTTCAGAGTGCAGCATTATTGGAAGCCTGGGAGAACTGGAGGAGAGCTAACTAGAATTGAGGCAGCTCATGTGATTGGATGCAGTTCAGTCGCTCAGTCGTGTCTGATTCTTTGCAACCCCATGGACTGCAGCATGCCAGGTTTCCCTGTCCATCACCAACTCCTGGAGCTTACTCAAACTCATGTCCATCAGGTCACTGATGCCATCCAACCATCTCATCCTCTGTCTTCCCCTTCTCCTCTCGCCCTCAATCTTTCCCAGCATCAGGGCCTTTTCCAATGAATCAGTTCTTCACATCAGGTGGCCAAAGTATTGGCTTTTCAGCTTCAGCATCAGTCCTTCTAATGAATATTCTGACTGATTCCGTTGAGAATTGACTGGTTGGATCTCCTTGCAGTCCAAGGAACTCTCAAGAGTCTTCTCCAACACCACAGTTCAAAAGCATCAATTTTTTGGTGCTCAGCTTTCTTTATAGTCCAATTCTCACATCCATACATGGCTACTGGAAAAACCATAGCTTTGACTAGAAGGACCTTTGTTGATAAAGTAATGTCTCTGCTTTTTAATATGCTGTCTAGGTTGGTCATAGCTTTTCTTCCAAGTAGCAAGCATCTTTTAATTTCATGGCTGCAGTCACCATCTGCAGTGATTTTGGAGTCCAAAAAGTCTCTTACTATTTCCATTGTTTGCCCATTTATTTGCCATGAAGTGATGGGACCGGATGCCATGCTCATAGTTTTCTGAATGTTGAGTGATTGGATAGGGGAGTGTCTTTGGATTTCTCTAGTTGGTCTTGAGTCGGGAGTGGGGGAAAATCAGGAAGGCAGATTTGACTGAGTCCTGGGCATCGTGGGCCCACTGCTGGCAAGGCTGCAGTCTGGCGGCCTGGGGTAGCTGCTGCGGAGCCAATGGGCAGAGCTCTGTCATCCTCTCGGGTCTATCTGTGGTCAGCCTCCCCACTCTCTCACAGTCTTCACCTCCGTGCTTTGACCTAATCTCCAACCCAGCCCCAAATCCTTGGAATTTCTCGGGTTAATCATCCCACGCCGACATTCCATCTTCCTTTAGATATGTACATAATTGCTGGTGGGAGAGATAGACACTTCTTTTCTGGTAGTATCTAAACTCCAAAAATGTTTCTGAAAGTCACACCATTCTATAAATGCTTTGAGGCACCTTGTGAAAGAATTTTGTTTTTCTGAATTAAGATTTATGCTGCGAGAAGAGCCATCATTTCTTAAATACACTGGTTTGCAAGCTCAAGTCTCTTACCCAAAATATAGCCTGCTTTATTTCATTTGCAAGTGGCCCAGTGTTTGGCCTGTGTCTTGGAATCCTTGTTACAGATGTCAGCCTCTCAACCTGGGGACGCGGACAGTGAGACCCTCTGGGTTTGTGTCGTTCTCTCGGCTTAGTGCTGTGCAAAGAAGTCCTCCCAAGAAATGGCACATGGCCAGAGTGGAGGTGGGAATGGGCGTGTGTCGCCCATTGGGTGGGTTTGCCTGCTGCAGCACCCGTGTTGTAAAATATTGCACCCAGAGGTTAAACTTGATAGCCATTCCCTCAACCACTCTCGTCAGTTGAAGTCCCCAACTTGTCATCTTGCCGCTTTGGGGGAAACTGTTCACAACTAATTCACTTTGAGATGGTGGTGAATTGATATGGCATTCAAAGAAAGAAAAAAAAAAAGATACCTTCAAAAGGAAATGCTTAAACCTAAGGAATATGTCTCTAACAGTGGAGTTTGAGGCAATCTCTAATGGAGATAAGGATTACTTTTAGGCAAAGAGATGTTTTTCTCTAGAGGAAATTAAGTGCCTGTAAGGAATCATCCCGAGGCCCAGTGGAAACCCCATGAACTAGGAGATTTTTTGATCTGGAAGCAAACCAGATTCTCAGAGCTCTGTTGGGTTTGCCCTTCAGAATGGCCCCTGGCTTCCACTACCTACAAATCTTCCCAGCTTCTTGGCAATGTCTAAAACTCTTCCATTAAAAACTTGCCCTTGCAGCCTAAGGCTTTGGGCCTGGTTAGCCTCAGGCTGTCCTCTGGCAGACCACTGAGTGAGTGGCTGCTGGGCCCTTTCCCAAGGACATTCTTTGATGGGTGGAGAACAGAAGGAAAGCAGAACAGGGAGGGAGGGAGAGGCAGCGAGAGCTGCTGAGCTCCTTGGGGTGGGAGAGCAGGGCACAGCCTGGGCCCCTTCAGCAGCCCGTCCTTCTGAGCCAGAGGCAAGGGCATGTGGCTCAGGGGTGGACCACTTGTCCAGCAGTGGCCCCTCAACATGGGAGCCCTCCCGCATGTCAGCGGCGCTGTCTTGAGAGGGTGTGGGGAAGCAGGAAAGAGCTGGCTGGTGAGTCGTAGAAGGATGAAGTTCCCTTGAGGGGGTTCCCTTTAGGATGTGGGCCTTTTACTCTGAGGAGACAGGGTCTACCAGGTGTAATCAGGATTTAGCCTACAACGAAGGATTAGGGGAAAAGTATAACCCAGGCTTCAGTTTTCTACAAGAAAAAGCTTATTTCTCTCCCCCTTTTCCTTACACCTGCTCAACCATAAAATCTCCATAAAGGGGAGATTGTTGGTTAAATTCAAATGGTGGCAATTAAAGAAAAAGACAAAGTGAAGAATTCTAACGTTCCTTTGGTCTCCAACATTATGCACCAGCAAGAATAAGCAATGAATGAGTTGAAAGTTTATTTGACAGAATCTCCACTTTGTGAGTTGAGCTTGAGGGGAGTTTCTGAGAACTGCCTTCTAGTTTCTACATGACCGGGAGACAGACAATTTGAACTAGAGCAGGAGGAATTTAGGCCAGACTTCTGGGAGAGTGTTTTTACTTCTAATAGCCACAAAGTGCACAAAGCAAGTTATCAGAAGGGATTAAGCCTCTGTTCCAACGCCTTAAAGACACGGAGTAGTTAGTTTTCAGTTTGTAGCATTTGCAGTTCTAGCTCCCACTGGCTGTGGCCTCTGTTTTTAAAAAATATGTTTTGCTCAAGGAAGCATAAAATTGCCATGCAGTGTCATATCTTCAGTGATACCTGTGTTACCCCCAGGGGCTTATCAGCAGCAGCATCTGGAATCAGTGAGCAGTCAAGCAATGTCAGCACTGAAGTCACATTATGCATGCAGCGCTGTGAGAAGAGCAGTAGAAATAAAGATAGAGCATCTCTGAGATGATGCGGTCATTTCGGGAGAAAAGCAGTAATAGCGACAAAAGCAATGTCACCTGCTGTTNAGCAAGCATCTTTTAATTTCATGGCTGCAGTCACCATCTGCAGTGATTTTGGAGTCCAAAAAGTCTCTTATTGTTTCCATTGTTTCCCCATCTATTTGCCATGAAGTGATGGGATGCCATGAAGTGAAGATGCCATGATTTTCATTTTTTGAATGTTGAGTTTTAAGCCAACTTTTTCATTCTCCTCTTTCACTTTCATCAAGAGGCTCTTTAGTTCTTCTTCACTTTCTGAAGTGTGGTGTCATCTGTGTATCTGAAGTTATTGATATTTCTCCCAGCAATCTTGATTCCAGCTTGTGCTTCCTCCAGCATTGTGCATACTGTATACAAAAAGAAAAATGTGAATGGTACTGTCTAGAGTTGTACAGTGCACAGCCTGCCACACCATTCATGGCAGCCACGTCACTCATAGAGTCTCATTGCAAGCTTTGCAGGTATGGGATTCTTTTCACATTTTAAATTGATTTCACATCCATTTGGTCCTCATAACAGTTTTATGAGATTGCAGGGACAGTGTTATTTTCCCCAGACTACAAATGAGGAGACCTAGTCCCAGAGAGGAACTGGGACTGTTCTATATTGTTAACACAATGAGATTAGGACCCAGAGTTGGTAGCTCTTGATTCAGGACCATTTCTATCAGCAATTCACTTAACCCAGCCTTTCAAGAACACCTCTGGGTGCAAGAGACAGGCTACTGGGGAATCACTGGGAGCTGAGAGGCCTCTTCTCTCCTTACCCTGAATCTGTCTTTACCATGGCCTCCCCCCTTCACCGTGGCCAGCCTCCCTCCTTCGTGTCCCTCCTCTCCATCCCCAGATTTGAGCGGGAGCAGAATGACACCTTCATCATGGAGATCCTGGACATTGCCCCATTCACCAAGATGAGGATCCGAATTGACGGCCTGGGCAGCCGGCCCGAGTGGTTCCTGGAGAGGGTAACACGGCTGGACCTGCACCCTCCCTTCCTCCCACTGCCCACCCCTACCTCCTGCTCCTTTGGGTTGTCAGTGGGGCTTGCTAACATGCAAATGTCACCTTAGAAGGTTGTTACCTGAGTCTGCCCCAGATAATATGCCCCTAGGTGTGAATTAATCAGGGAACCTCGTTTTATTTATTTGTATCCAGTCAAAACTGAATGAACTGCCAGGGAATACAGCCTGCGTGGTCAGTGAAATGTGGACAGAGACCGGCGTGAGCTTCCTGGAGGGAGCGAGTTGGGCGGAGTGAGAGGAGGAGCAGCAGGCCTGGGAGGCGGGGTTCCCATGGTGGGAACCTGAGGCAGATGGTGGGGAGGCTCCCGGTTCCCCCATGGGCTCAGTGAGCGGGCTGCCTCTTCTTCCCTGAGCCGCCCTCTCATCCCTTATCCATCAAAGGCCATCCGTCCCAAGTCCCCCGAGGCTCTGCTCCCCTGTTCAGCCTTCAGCAGGCTTTCCTTGGGCCAATAATACAGTGTTCCCTCCAAGGACAATCTGGCGAACTTGGGTCCACAGTGCTGGGGGAGTCTGTGGCTGAAGGTGGTTTGATTGGTCTATTTTTATGTCATTAATTCAGCAGACATTCCTGGTGCACAGTGATAGGTCCTCCTTGGAAACATACTTACATGAATTGCCCACTTCCAGCTTGCCGAGTAAAGCTAGTCACGGCAGGAGCTTCAGACTCTGTGCCAGGCCCGCGGGGCAGGGTGTTGTCCTGGAGAGGACCCTTTCCTCGTGCCTCGAGTCTAAGTCAGAAGTTGTCTCAGGCCTGGGATAGTGGGTTCCAGGGTCCAGACGAGGGGGCTGCCTCAGTGGGCGGGCGGNACTTACATGAATTGCCCACTTCCAGCTTGCCGAGTAAAGCTAGTCACGGCAGGAGCTTCAGACTCTGTGCCAGGCCCGCGGGGCAGGGTGTTGTCCTGGAGAGGACCCTTTCCTCGTGCCTCGAGTCTAAGTCAGAAGTTGTCTCAGGCCTGGGATAGTGGGTTCCAGGGTCCAGACGAGGGGGCTGCCTCAGTGGGCGGGTGGTCGGTGGGGGTGAGGGAGGTGTTCACACATTGGCCACTCCCCCACACCCAGATTCTCCTGAAGAACATGAACACGGGAGACCTGACCATGTTCTACTATGGAGACTGGCTGTCCCAGCGGAAGGGCAAGAAGACGCTGGTGTGCGAGATGTGTGCCGTCATCGATGGGGAGGAGATGATGGAGTGGACGTCCTACACCGTCTCAGTGAAGACCAGTGACGTCCTGGGTGAGTCGGGGGCGGGGCACTCCCTCCTGTGTTCACTGCCCACTCACCCTGCCCTTCTCAGATTCTGGCTCAGATCCTGAGCTCGGATCAAGGCATTTTTCCTTGGTTAGCCTTTCAAAAGTAAGGCCAACTCATTTCCGCAGCGTGTCACCTTCTACAAAGTATTCCTCCCCAGGACTGATGTGGCTCTGTCCTTTCTGCATCAGGAAAATGGGAGAAAACGGTGCAGGCGATTGGCTCAGAGGCCATCAGTCCTCTGCTGCATCCTGAAACCCCTCGCCCAGGTGCTGCCCAGCATGGCTGCCCTTGGGCCCCTTCCCACGTCCCTGTACTTGGCCACCATCCTCTGTGCCGGCTTTGGCCTGGGATCTTAGGATACGATAAGTCCCTGAGCCCACGTAGGAGTGACACTCGAGTGCAGCAGTGACAGCGAGGCTGTGACAGAGGCTGGCACAGGTGTACCAGGTGCTGGGAACCTACAGGAGGGCACCTTCCCTAGCCGGAGATCAGGGCCAAAAATCAGGGAGGTCTTCCCAGAGGTGGTGCCAAAGTGCAGCCAGAAAGACAAACAGAAGCCAGTGAGGCAGATGGGACACCAGAGGAAGGGCATTCCAAGCAAAAGCACCAAGGCATGCAGAGGCCTGCAGCTGAAAGGGAAGCAGTGTGTCCTGCCTCCCTACCCTCAACCAGTTCTGTCCCCGGGGAGCTGGTGCAAGGACCCTGCAAACTCACTCACACTACCTATAAGTGGTAGTGATGGATCCTTGCTTGGCCCTGCTAGCTCACACTTTCAACAGGGAAGCTCTCCCAGCACAGTGATAGGCATCTCTTGCAAATGAAGCCAAAGAAATGAAGCTTTCCTAAACTGACAGCTCAGACATACATGTTGGGTCAAAACAGCTGGCAAGGCACCAGATTTGTGGCACTTCCTTTCTTCCTAAGATAGAAGACTTCTCTCTCTTTGCTCAAAGTTCCAAGTGTTCACTCATTTTCAAGTCCCTCATCCCTTCATGATATGCTCTCAGAAAGTAGTAAGCTCATTGATAACCACGGGGTATGTATCAGAAAAGTTTCAAGGGGTCACCTCTCCCAGAAGCCTTTTCTTTCCAACTGGATCACTACTTTTCTTTGGCTTAACCAGAGAATGTGTAGCTCTAGCATAGAATGTCAACCAGAGGCAGATGTGGGAACAAGGAACTTTCACATTGTACAGGAAGGAGTTTATTTCTAAACTGCAAAGCCAGTCTACATGGCATGCCTTTAAGGACAGGTATATTTCTGCAGAATACATGAGTTCTTGTACCAAACCATCCACGCCTGCTAACCAGGACCGCAGTTAACCCAACAGCATTTACAAGGCTCAAATGTAAGACAAAGGATAGAGTTGTAGACCTGGAGCCCCAGTACACTGACCAGCCCTTTCTGACCTCATCCCTGGCCTTGACGACTCTGAACTTGCCCACGTGCACCCCTGGCTCCTCCCAGGATCCCAAGAGTGAGGCCAGAGCAAGAGGGCTGTGAGTCAGAGAGACCAGAGCCCTTGTCTTGTGCACCCCAGGAGCTGGCACCGATGCCAATGTGTTCATCATTATCTTCGGGGAGAACGGGGACAGCGGCACCCTGGCCCTGAAGCAGTCGGCCAACTGGAACAAGTTCGAGCGGAACAGTACCGACACGTTCAACTTCTCTGACATGCTGAGCCTGGGCCACCTCTGCAAGCTGAGAGTTTGGCATGACAACAAAGGTAGCTCAAGGTCAGGGTGGAGGGAGGGCAGGCCGCAGCTCTTCACCTAAGCCCCGCCCATCTCTCTGGCAGCCCGTGGACCCTTCCACCCCAGGGTGGCAGGAAACCGGAAACAGTAGATTGCTACCATTTTGATGTTTCCATCAGTTAGAAGAGCCAGTGTTTCGGGACAAATTGCAGTTCCTCCTGCTGCACACCCCCCACCCCAGGGTAATGAGTAGCTCTTACTTTTTCTGTGTTATCAGGGCATTAATTATTCTTAGTTCAGACATTAAAATTGAGAGGAGGGGGGAAAAGGGCTATATCACCAAAGTCCCTTTGCATGAATTTTCCATAAAGGATTATGCTTGTTTAATTATATTAGCAAATCTAAAATTAGTCAAATTCACTTATAAATATGAATGATGGGATAGGATATAAGCCAAACAAAAAATTTATCTTCAAAATGCCGAAGGAATACTTTGTTACATATGTAATTATGATGAAGCTCATGTTCAATATTTCTTTCGTTACCACTTTGTTGTCTTCAGGCCACTATGAACATTTTTTTTCTGGCTTTGGGCCATTATGTTATACATTATATAGTTGGAACAGAGTTGTTAAATACTAAATGTCACCTCCTTAAGACACATTATTTTCTTGATTTATGCCATTCTAACTCACCCTCTTGTCTTTCATTGAAACTGGCTTTGACAAGGCAATTCACTCAAATCCTTCTCCAGTCTTCTCTGAGTCTCCCCCACAAGTGGCCCAGAGGTGTCCTGAGTGTTGTATTGTCCTTACTTCTTTAGATCCTGGCAGAGAACCAATATATCTGTCATGGTGACTGATGAAGCCTAATTTGGCAGCTTTAACATGCATTAAACTATTAAAAATGTTTTCCATAACATGGGATAAGCTCTGATTAAGCACAGAGAAAGTTCTCATTCTTAAGAACAATAAAATAATGAAGATTTGCACAACCCTCAACTTTCACATCTCAGTGTACCCACTCAGTCATTCATTGAGGGAGCATTTACAGCATTTGCTATGTGCCTAGTGCTCTGTTAAGAATAAAAGATACAAACATTTGACCTTTGTGACCGTCTTATGGATTCTTGCTCTTTTCTACAACACATAATTATACATATATCCCTTCCCTCATGGCCTCCCTCCCCAGCCCCATCCCATCCTCTCCACACCAGCGCCCCCACCCCAGGTCATCACGGAGCGCCAGGCTGGGCTCCCTGTGTTGTTTAGCAACTTCTTGCTATCTATTTTACACTTCATTCAGGTTTTAAACTTTTTTTCTTATAGTAAACCTTAGAACATTTGGGATAAAATGATTTCATTAGGACAGGCTATTGCTCCCTGGCAGGGCTTTGAATTATTTTTCCCTTCCACTCATAGAATGTTACCACCAGTGTCCTTCCTTGTTCCTCCCTATTTAATAATGGTGCACTCATCCATTCAATAAACATATATTGAATAATGTGCTAAGCATTGCTCTAGGCACTAGAATATAGCTGTGGATATCAGGCAAGACTCCTGCTCTCTAGGCTTACAGCCTAGAGAAGACAGACAGTATAGGCAATGTGCAAGGAAATAAAACCGAAATTATTTCAGACTATGAAATGGGTGTACGTTAATGTGATAGCAAGTAATTAGGGATGAGGAAGTCTCCGCAAATTGGAAAGGTCGTCCCAAAGACAGGACATTTGATCTGACACCTCAGTGATGAAACACTGTGGATAGTCAAAGCCTAAGGTATATTGTCGCAGGCAAACAGAAAAAGTATGTGCAACATTTCCATAGACAAGACTAGATTTCATATGTTAAGGTACTAAAAGGTGTAAGTGAAATATAGTAAGTAAAAATGCAAGTAGTATGAGATGAAATCAAAATGGAAAGGGGCCAAGTCATGTCAGTTCTTATAGTTGTTAGTGAGCTGTTTGCAGTTATTCTGAGAGTAATGGGAAGCCATTGAACAGTTTTCCATGAGAAGTGACAAAATCAAATCTGATTTATGACTTCAAAAGATCACTATGATGCATGTAGAAGGATAGTAATTATAGCATTGCATGTAGAAGTAAAAGTTTGGATAACAACTAATTATCCATCAATTAGGACAAAGCAGAAATTGTCTTGTGTGTGCATACAATGGAATACCATGCAACTATGAAAAGGGATGGGCAGATATTTATGTACTGATATAGATTGTGAGTGAAAAGCTCAGATGTCAGACAGTGTGGGATGTTTGCTATCTTTGTGTAAAAAGACAAGTAGGACTCTGAAAGAGGAGATTCTGTAAAGAAATGGATTCTCTAGTGGTGGGATTAAGCTGGTTCCCTATTGATCTATGGTGGTAGTGCTGCCATACAACTAGCCATTCTGTAACTGTGGTCTGTCTGTTTCTCTGGTGTCCTCACCAGCAGAACCCAGTCATATGACATCAGCCTTCCCAGAGCTGCCTCTTCTCATGTTTGATAGGTTCTTAGTATAGAAAGTCGTGGTAGGATCCCTGTTAATCCCTTCCAACATTTCCAAAACAAGGCAATTAAATAATCAGTGGGCATGAAGCTAAGAGTAAAGCTTATTTATCTTACAGTGTGTGGGGTTAGTCTGCTATTTACCATGGAAGGAGTTCCTTTGCAGAATCAAACTTGAAAAGAGAGTTGAAAATGGTGTGAGACAGTGCCATGCCTTCAGAGGAGAGAGGGAAGGGAGGGTGCAGAAGGAAGAGGGCAACCTGCTAGCACACAGCAGGGCAACCCGGGTCAGGCTGCCTCCTCCTCTGGTTGTCTTCACCCACACACTCGGGCCCTGAATTGCCTGTGGATAAAGTCAAAGACAGCCCAGAATCCACCCTTTCCATCATCCCGCTGCTTTCCTCTGTTACCACCATGCCTGGAGCTTTGGAAGTACATTCAAGAGTGAAACCTGCCCAGAATATGGAGCAGAGTGCGTCTGTTATTTCCACTTAACACTGTACTGGGCTTAGCTTAGTCATGTCCAACTCTACGTGACCCCATGGACTGTAGCCCACCAGGCTCCTCTGTCCATGGTTATTCTCCAGGCAAGAATTCTGGAGTAGGTTACCATGCCCTCCTCCAGGGGATCTTCCCAGCCCAGGGATCAAACCCAGGTCTCCTGCATTGCAGGCATATTCTTTACCAGCTGAGCTACCAGGGAAGCCCCCACTTAATACTAATCATTTGTTATTTACATTTTGAATTTAAATAAAACTTAAAATATGTATGCAAAACAAAAACTTTGTTGATAAAATAACACCGCTTTTGAACTCAACAGAACCATTGTAAAATTTAACTTGTTCTGGGGCTGGCTGATTTCCACTTTCAGTAAAGACCCATCCTTTAAAACATATGAAATACCTTTTACACCAGAAATGAAGCTATACGAGGACTGCCAGTATGTATGCTCTGCGCGTGAGCCTTAACACCTGCTCCCTGTGGACCGGGTGACTGGAGGCATGCATCCGTCTTTGTGTGTCTCTGTGCTTATAACCCTTGAGACCAATGGCAAGATCTAGGGATGTCGCTTTGGGCATGTCTGATCCTCCCTCACCATTATTGAAATGGCTTTTTGTTGGAGACGCTTGGACAGCCCTTCCAACCCCAAGTGGCAAGAAAAGGCAAGATGTGAAAGTAAAACATATACATACCCCCCTTGCAACCTTCTGCGCATACTATGGACACACAGATCCTCTAGGAGTTCCTGAGCCCAAGTTAAGGATTTTGGAAAGAGAATTATTGGGTTGGTCAATAATATCTTATGGAAGAACCTAAACAAACTTTTTGGCCAACCCAGTCTATCCTCTGGGCTAGAGGTATCTCAGAGATCATCTGACCCAACCCCTCATTTCATCAACACGGAGACAAAGGCCCAGAGAGGACAGAGAACTTGTCCAGGGCCACACAGCCAGCAGATGTAGGGAGCAGAAGTCTGAAAGGGGAGGAAGAGTCCACTCAGCCTCCACGTCTCTATTCTCAGGGATACTTCCCGGCTGGCACCTGAGCCATGCTGACGTGAAGGACAACTCCCGCAACGAGGCCTTCCGCTTCTCTATTCTCAGGGATACTTCCCGGCTGGCACCTGAGCCATGCTGACGTGAAGGACAACTCCCGCAACGAGGCCTTCCGCTTCTCTATTCTCAGGGATACTTCCCGGCTGGCACCTGAGCCATGTCGACGTGAAGGACAACTCCCGCGACGAGACCTTCCGCTTCCAGTGTGACTGCTGGCTCTCCAAGAGTGAGGGCGACAGGCAGACGGTCCGCGACTTCGCCTGCGCCAACAATGAGATCCATGACGAGCTGGAGGAGACCAGTATGTGGGGACACCGGTGGGCCCTGCTTAGATGCAGCCTGGGCAGAGGGAGGGGGGAACAATGTTGGAAAATCTAAAGGAAGCTCTCTCACAGCTGGAGGGGAATCAGATGCCCAATGAAAGAAATAACATAGGAGCAGTGCATACGTAAGCACCCTAAGTGTTGCTTCGTGAACCTGAGACAGCCAAGATACTGGTGCCAGCTCATGGCCCCAGATCACAGGGACTTATTAGGTAGCAGGAAAACCCACAGGGGACAAGCTTACCCTGGGCAGTTTGATGTGATGCTCTCTCTGATTTACTTTTTTGTCATAGACTCTCTCCAGCTGATGTCTATGGCAACAGCCGCCAACTCAGGCCTTCCTGAAAACAGAATGTGTAGGGGAGCCAGCATCTCCACCAACAGCTTTCTCTTTGGTTCCTTCCTCAGGGCGTGTGTAAAGGGAAAGAGTAATTGGTCCCTAAGGTGGATGGCCATCAAGGACCAGGGAGGTGTCTCTTTAATACAGATGGCAGTATCTGGGTCCGACAGATTTGATGAAGGCTTATCAATAACAGAGCCTGATGTAAAGAAAGTCTTTTCCAACATTTTCTTACTGCAGCTAGCTAGTTACTGTAACACTGGCTGCAGTAAGACTTAAACCCACAAATCTCAATAGCTAAATACAATAAAATCTGTTTCTCACTGATATAATCAGTCCAGTGTGGGTGTTTGGCAAGAGGCCTTCCACACTGTGATTCAGGGACCCAAGCTCTTCTCACCTGCCATTTTCAACATGTGGCTCGCACATTTCTTGAAGAGGGAAAAGAGAGCTGGGAGAAGGCACATTCCATACTTTCTCAACACATTAACTCATATTCTAGGAGTCATGTGGCTCCACCTAGATGCAAGGGCACCTTGGATTGTAGTACCTGGCTGGACAGTTGCCCCAGGCAAGCTCTGTACATTACGAAAGGGAAGCATGGATCCTTGGTGGAAAGGCACTCAGCCTTCTGCACCATGCCATCCACACTGCCCAGTGATGGACTCAGCTGCTTGGAGAGGAGTGATCACTGATGGTACTGGGAGTTTCAGACAAGGGCCAACCACTCATCTGTCAGCCTTAACGTATGGGGATAACTGCCCTAATTCAGAGGGTGAACTCCCAGCTTCTCTAATTGTACTTACCGAGGGCCCACTTTTATTTTAGATGCTATGAACCATGCACACTGCTTTGTTTTTGTTAGTTTCCTTGTACTGAACTGTGCCCATCTGTTGATGTCCCTACGCAACTATAAGCTCCCAGAGGTCAAGGACAGAATCACTCTGCAGGCCTTGGGACTTAGTAGGTGCACACATCATTAGAGCTCAGAAAATGAAGGTTGTTTTTCCTTGGGGCCTCACAATCTCATTAGTGGTGGAGGCTAATGCATAATTACTAACATGAGCAATAAAGGCTCCTGGGGCCCTTGGCGTTCAGGGGAGGAGAGATTTGTGAGGCTGGGAGCATAACCACGGAGTTTCCTTCACAGATTTCCTGCCAAACAGCTTGCTAAGACCTATGGAATTGGGGTTGGTAGGGAGCTTGATAGAGGGGGAGCAGTACTTGCATTAATTCCAGAAGGATGTGTGTGAGACAGAGATGGAAGGGCAGGGACACCAAGCCCAGGAATGGTCTGGATCAATCTGTCATTACGAGGAGCCTGCAGAGGGCAGGGTGCCCAAAGGCCAGTGACACCCATGTCCCCAGATGGAGGCTCATCCTAGGGAGAGCCAGGGGATACAATTTAAGCCAATCATTCCAACCTCAGCTGTCTTTAACCAAGTGACACAGCCTGGTGTAGGTTCCGGGACACAGTAATGAATAGGGCAGAGATCCTGCCCTTATGGCATTTACATTCCATGTCTGTGGCCCCAGGGACATCTCTGAGCACTCAGCTTGTGAGAATAAACACCCTCTCATATATGAACAGAGCTCCACACATCCCCTGTCCTCACTGGATCCTCACCACCCTACACCGACCCTATGAGCTGGATAGGGGCAAATTCCCCTCTCTATATCCTAGATGTGGAAAACCAAAAACCAAAAAAGTGAAGCAACACATCGAAGACCTAGCCAGAGCCAGTAGGACCCGTATGACCTGATTCCTAGATCAGGGCTCATCATACCATGGTCGCTGTGTCATCATTGGGCCTGGCTGGTACTCCAGATTGATCAACTACCCCACCTTGTTTAGTATCCTGTTTGCTGCCTTCACCTCCAATTTTTGTTAGCAATTTCAGAAGCTGCTCCCCATCCTCTGTAAGCATCAGCCTCTGTAGGTGATTCCAATGTGTTGGCAAAGCAGAAAACCATTGGCAACTTTAAAATAATACTGATATTTGGGTCTCACCCCAGAGAGTCTGCGTTAAGTCCTGGACAGTAAGATCATGTGCTTTTGTGTGCATATGCATGGAAACAGCACACACACACATACATGGCACCTAGGAGGGGAGAAAAATCTCTCTCTGGGGCATGCTGTGTGCGTGCTAAGTCACTTCAGTCATGTCCAACTTTTTGCCGCCCCATGGACTGTAACCCACCAGGCTCCCCTGTCCATGGAATTCTCCAGGCAAGAATACTGGAGTGGGTTGTCATGCCCTCCTCCAGGGGATCTTCCTGAGCCAGGCATTGAACCCACATCTCCTTCATTGGTAGGCGGGTCCTGAGCCTTCTGGGAAGCCCCCTCTCTGGGACATTCTCCAGCAAGACCAATGCCTCCCCTCTCTACAGCCCCCTTCCTTCTTATCCACCCCTACTTGAAGCCTTCTCAGGCTGCTCAGTCAGCCTTATCTGCAACATTTCCAGTTCTGATACAATCAAGCTTCATGACCAACTCTCCAGGTTGGAGGACTCACTGCTCCACCAGGCAGCTCTGTTTAAAACTTCATCTTTATGATTTTGTTCTTGAAGCTGCTATCCTCTGGCAGTCCCAATGGAGGCAAACACAAAACTTCAGGAGTGGTCAGGACTTGGTTGTACGTGCCTAAACCCCAGCCCTAAGCTGGCTCCAGGAAAAAGGGAGCATGTTGGTGCCCAGAACTTGGAAGTTTCAGGTGGAGCTGGCTGGGGCTTGGCTGTCTCCAGAGGCTCCAGTGGTTTCAGTTTGTCCTTGTCCCCTTTTCCTCTCAACTGTTTCTTTCTCTACATCGTGGGAAGATGGTGGCTGGTATCCCCAACCCCATAGCCTTCTAATTGACCAACTTTGGCGGATGGGAAGAGAGCCTCTCTTAAGGAATAATTCTGATTGTCCAAGTCCGGGACTCTGATGCAAAAGCACATGGGAGGAACATCCAGAGCCAAGAAGGGTCTTGGCAACATAAGATGGGGGAGGTGACGCGGAGCAATAAGCTGCAGGTGCCTGCTGGACGCCCAGGTGTCCTCTGGTGGTACTCCTCGGCACCTGGTGCCCCTGCTGTCCTGGCCTCAAGGCAAACACCTATCTGTTCAGGAGCTGCTCACGTGAGGTGTGTTGGATCCGCTCGGCGCATCCTGGGCTTCTGGTTCATCTCTGTCTGCAGATGCCACGCCCAGAGCACAGGCAAGATGTCAAGGGCAGACAGCTTTGCTCTCCTGTCCTGCCACATTCATGCCTGCTGAGCCCATAGGATCTTTGTTAGTGGCCCCGTTGTGTGAATGACCTCACAGTGGCTACGGAGCCACTTTCTCCAGCTGGACTCCTCCCATGGGGGTGTTGGCCCCGGGGTGAGCCTCATGTGGATCCCTGCTAGGCTGGGCTCCTACCCACCCTGCTCTGTCAGGTCCCTGGTCCTCCTCTGTCCTTGCCTCCCAGCCACCTATAAACAAAGCTGAGAGTCACGCCTTCCACATTTTTATCAAGTCATTAATGAAATGACTTTTCCAAGGTGGAAACAGGCTGATTGAAAGACTGTTGATGCAACTGGCCACATTTGTTTTTAATCCATCTAAATGTCCTCACTTACACACCTTCCTTCTCTGCCTTGTCCTTGGGGCCATGAGGAGAGGGTTGGTTACAATCCACACGCATGTCCTCCTTGAGCTGATCGTAGGAAGCAAGTAGGTTCCTAGTGCTCCCTGCTTTCTCGCCTGGGCACTGACAGTCCATTTCCTTACAAGGCAGGATCCACTTTGAATTCACATGTGTCTGGTTTGCAGAAGTACCTTACCCTCCCTGTGTTGGCTTTGAGCCCCCAGCCATGGCTCAGCTATCTCCTGTCCTGGTGCTGCGAACAGTTGGGCCTGCAGAGACAGATTCTTCTGGGGCTGTGCTCACTGTGGATCTCCTCCCCTATCCTGGGATCCGTGCCCAGATTCACTCTACATGTGACTTCAGAGAAGTCACAAAGGCAACAGGTCGCTGAGAGTTTACATTGAGCTGTAGACACAGCCAGCCCTTCTAATTGTCTTTATCACATTTCTGAGATAAAGCACAGAGATCAAACTATCTCTTTGGATCTAGAATCCCAAATCCTCAGTGACTCACTAACTGCAGGAAGACAGATGTGTCTTCCTGTGTGCCAGCTCCATCCCAGCTGGTCCGAGGGGAGTGGGGCTGGATCTCATGGATCTCATGGATCTCAAGCCCCTCCCCTGCCCTCCGGTATCTTTGCTTATGCTCCTTCCCCTTCCGTCCTCCTAGAGCATCCCTCAGTTCTCCGTTGATCACAATCATGACTCTTCTTTGAAGCCAAGCTCACACACTGCCTTCTTCATGGAGCTTACTGCGATGAGCCCAGTCATTCATTATTTGCTCAAGAGATATTTATTGAGTGTCTATGTGCCAGGCACCGTTCTGCGCCCTTGGGATTTATAAGGAGCAAAACAAAGACCTTTGCCCTCATGGAGCTAACATTCAGGTGGGAGGGGGTCATACAATAAACATTAAAATGATAAGTAACTGCATAGCATATTAGAAGGTACTAGGTAAGAGAAGATGGAGAAGGAAATGGCAACCCACTCCAGTATTCTTGCCTGGAGAATCCCAAGGACAGGGGAGCCTGGTGGGCTGCCATCTCTGGGGTCGCACAGAGTTGGACACAACTGAAGCGAATTAGCAGCAGCAGCAGGTAAAAGAAGATGATAGAGCTCAGTAGAGCAGGCTGGAGCCCTGGGGGAAATGGGTTGGAAGTTGATTAGGGTGGTCCCTGAGAAGGGGACGTCTGAGTAGGACAGGAAGGAGGGGAAGGAGTGAGCCAGGCTCACGGGTGGAGGTGGGGAGAGAAAGAGGATGAGCCGCAGACAGAGCTCTAAGGCAGGAGCAGGCCTTGTGCTCCTGGAGTAGCACGGAGGCCAAGCGGAGCGAGCAAGGTGGGGAAGTGCTGGAAGGTGAAGTTGAAGATGTAACGGGAGCCAGATCCACCCTCTCCCCCTTGGTACTTGGGCCCTTTGCTGCAGGTTATTCTGTTCTGCGGTGTCATCAGTGTTTCCGTCTGGGGCCAAATATGAGTGCTAGGGTCACCCAGAGTTTAGCCCAGTCCTGACACTAGACACCCCCTTAACAAATGAAACAATGCTGACCTGCTTGTGGAAACTTCAGGGGAGGGAGGTTGTGATGCTGAGCTTGACACCAAAATGAGAGCTGAGACAAGACAGAGGCAGTTTGTTAGAGAAAGTTCCAGGCTCTTCTGGAGTCTCTCCTGCCTGGATCTTCCCCTTTCTATAGCTGGGCCCTGCCTCTCCTCCCTTCTCTTTGCTCCTGATCTTCACTTTGCATCTCAGAGACTCCTCCATCCCTGAGAGCCAGGCCCCAGCATCCCTTGGGAAACTCATCCCCACCTTGTGGTTTGCCCCCAAATTGAGGCAGGTTCTGTTTACGGTGCCTCGATCCTAAAGATTTTAACCTGCGCCCCAGCCCCCGCACTTAAGGCTGTGGTCTAAGACCAGATGCAGGACCTGAAGCGAGTGGCAGGTTGGCTTCTGCCCCAGTGGTGGGTGCCGCTTCCCCTCTGCTGACCGTCTCCCACCTTCTCCACCGCAGCCTACGAGATCGTCATAGAAACCGGCAACGGAGGCGAAACCAGGGAGAACGTCTGGCTCATCCTGGAGGGCAGGAAGAATCGATCCAAAGAGTTTCTTGTGGAGAATTCTTCCAGACAGCGGGCCTTCAGGAAGTAGGAAGAGGGGGTGCCCACAGGGGAACGGGGATAAGTGGGAGTAAGAGGGGACCCCCAAGAACCAACCCTTTTAGTTGGGGCCATAAATGTACAAATGGGCCTAAGCAGCAAGGACTTACTGAGTACCTACTGTGTGCCAACACCATTCCAACTCTAGGGTCGCAACAGGAGCTTTAGAAAAGGGAAGGGAAAGGACTATCATTTAAAGACAGCCCCCTCTGAGAGACTAGAATCTAATTGTTTCAACGACTAGAAAAAAAGGATGATTATGTAATATGATAGAAGTGCTAATTATGGCCACAATGGCAATCATAGTACAATATAAAAATGTTTCAGATTCATATATTCTACACCTTAAATTCACACAATGGTATATGTCAAATGTATTTCAACTTTTTAAAACTTAATGCAAAACTACAACAAAAATCACTTAATTAATTACAGCAAGTCCAGTATGTGGCAGGATTGGAAATCACACAGATGTTATTCCACATCTGTGCAAATGAGGAGCTCGCAGTGTACTTGAAAAGGGAGACAGTCACCCATAAAAACGCAAATAAGACAGCATGGAATTCAGTTCTAGTGAGAAGTAGGGAGGGAGGGGAGAGCCTCCAAGATGCTTCATAGGAAAAATCAAAATTAGGTCTCGTGTAACAGCGCCCCCGCTTAGCACTCCCGGCTGCCCGCCACGCCCTGGAGAATCTCACGTCTTCCTGTACATCAGAGCTGCTTCTGAACTGCCCAGATGCCCACTTCATCTCCCTGCTGCCTCCAGAATCTCTTAAATAGAGCCTCCTCCTCCCATAACCTCACTTCACCCTCTTTTCAACCCCCTCTGCGTGAAGATGGGCTGAGCTGCCCCACTCCCAAAAGGCAGCCCACCCCACTTCTTTTCCATTGCCCCTTCCCTCCCTGAACCCAAACTCCAGCCAAGCCAGCCCTCCTTCCAGAAATGACCGCACCTCCAACCACATGACTTTGCCAAATCAAGTCCTCATCAGAAGGTGCTTCCCTTCCCCTTCCTTCTGCTCCCTGAATCTCACCTCCCTCCTCAGCCCAGTGCTGAGGGCCCAGGGCCTCACCCTCCTCCAACACCATCCCCTATTACCAATCACTGATTCTGGGAACAGGCAGCTGGAAGGGCTTTTTAATGGTTCCAATTGTCTTGTTCCAACTCTAGACTGAACCCCTCAAGCAATGGAGGGCTGATATCAGGTCTCGCTTGCCAGTCTATCCCTGTCCCTCAGACCAGCACTTAGGACACAGTTGGCACTGGATAAATGCTTGCTTCCTTCAGTGGGCATGAGCAGCGCTCACTGATGGTACCTTTGTGTCCTGCAGGGGGACCACAGACACATTTGAGTTCGACAGCGTCTACTTAGGGGACATTGCCTCTCTCTGCGTGGGCCACCTCGCCAGGGAGGACCGGTTCATCCCCAAAAGAGAGCTGGTCTGGCATGTCAAAACCATCACCATCACCGAGATGGAGTATGGCAACGTGTACGTGCTGGGCCTCCACCCTCTTCCCCCAGGGAGGCCTGCAGCCAGACCATGGACAAGACGGCAGGGGGTGGGGAGGTGTCCCTTGCGAGGCATCTGAATCAGAGAGGAAGGAGGCAGCTGTACTGGTTCTTGAGTTTTCTGAACCAGAGGATAACCCCAGAGGCAGGGGCCTAGGCTCGATGACCTTGGGTGCTCCAGCCTTTTTATCCAGTGATGCTTCTTTGGAAGGAAAGAAGAGCCAGCCAGGCAGTGCCAGACAGCTGAGTCTTTCCTGCCCTGCCCCCATGATCACGGTATAATGGCAAAGAGATACAGCTTTGAAGCCTGCTGCTCCACAGTCAAAGGGAATGCCCATCATCCCTGTGGGCAGAGTGGGGACCAGCAGAGAAATCCCATGCCCACCGCCCCGAGGACCCCAGATAAGGAGCTTTACATTTCCCCCTCCAGGGCCTTCTGAGGACATTTCTAGAGGATTAGGGGTCTTAGTTACCTGGGTAACAGTTCGCAGCCATCAGTTTTTCTAATTAAAACCGCTTGGTAACCGTGTTAGCCCTGAGGCTCTAGAAGCAGAAAAGACACTAAAAAGGAACCAGGAGAGGATGATGGGGAAGCAGAGGGCAGCGTGTGCCTCAGGGAGCGTAAGCCCAAGGAGAGGCTAAGACAGCAGGGCCACCCCCAGAACCACTGTCCGCCCCTCCGGGCCCCCCCTGTGCCCCTCCTGAGCTGGCCCTGCTCTTGGCAGCATCTTTCACAAGAACTGCAGCAGACAGAAGCAGCAGCCCTGCCTGGCCAGGCAGGTCCCAGCTTTAGGCTCCAGCCTTCAGGGCCCGAGCCTCTCAGGCAACGTCTGTCCCCACTCTGCCTGCACCCGCTGGCTCCCTGGACCTGGCCATCTCTGAGCAAGACTCCCCTTTGGGAATGGAGCAGGAAAGGGTTCTGACATGTGCGCTTGTCTCTCAGCTATCTCAGGCTGCTGTGACCAAATCCCTGGGCTGGGTAGCTCAGACAGCGGGCATTCTTTCCTCATACCTTGGAGCCTGGAAGTCAGAGGTCAGGGTGCCAGCGGGGTTGAGTTCCCTTGAGGCCTCCCTTGCTAGCTCAGTGTGTGTTCACATGGCAGAGAGAGAGAGAGATCTGGTGTCTCTTCTCTTCACGAGGTGGCCCTAGTGAGCAAACCTGCCAATGCAGGAGACATAAGAGACATGGGTTCCATCCCTGGGTTGAGAGGAAACCCTGGAGGAGGGCCTTGCAACCCACTCCAGTATTCTTGACCGGAGAATTCCATAGACAGAGGAACCCAGCAGGCAATGGTCTATGGGGTGGCAAAGAGTCAGACACGACTGAAGCAACTTCACACACACACACACACACACACACACTCTTCCCATAAGGGCACTAATCCCATCATGGGTCCCAATCCTAATGACTTCATTTAAACCCGATGACCTCCCAAAGCCCCATGCACAAATGCCATCACATTGGGGTAAGAATTTGGGGAAAGAGAATTCAGTTCATAGCAGTTCCCTCTCAGGCTGCAATGTTATATTGTTGTTCTTTGGGGGAAAACCAGCTGGGGTACAGTAAACACTATAGAAATCATTGGGTGAGGCTGTGATGAGGACTTGGGAGCTGGGTTACAGGGCTGGGGAGCATTCCAGCCCACCAGCAAGCCAACCTGTACCGCCTCCCAACTGCAAGGAACGTGGCTGCTCATACTTCTCTACAAATGCCCCAAGTAAACAAGACAATACAATACAATAATAAAAGAGTCACCACGTAAGTTAGCTTTAAACCCACAGTGTCAGCTGTGAGAAAGTCAAAGGTCTCAACGCCACCCGGCACCTTCCAGTCTCGGGAAGGAGGGGAGTGAAGAACTTCCCGACCCACAGTCCTCAGCTGAGCTGTAGGATTCCTTGTCCAGTAGAAAGAATCTACCACTCCCAGTGAAGCAGCTTTTCCTACACTCTCAAAAGTGTGGCCTTTCGTCAGCTGGGCTGGGAGGGGAGGAAGGGATGTCCACGGGCTGGACATCAAAGGGGGTGTAGGGAGTCCCGACCCCAGATGCTCCAGCCATCACCGGTCAGCCCGTGGCTTTAGGCCATCGCCCAGCTCCTCTCTGGGAGGAGAGATGGATGCTCTTTGGGGTCTGGCGGGAGGGGAGAGATGGCAGGAGTATAGCCTGAGAGGCTCTCAGAAGTCATACTCCAGCCTACCTACTGTGCTGGTCTCAGGTCTGTGATTTCTGGTGGGTGACCACCTCCCTCCCCCTCTGCCAAATATCAGCTCTGTCCAGAGTGAGGACGGGGCAGGGCTGTGTGTCACTGTGGCTGTTTACATGTCACCATTCTCTGTGTGTATTTGCCACTCAGTCGTGTCCAACTCTTCATAACCTCATGGACTGTAGCCCACCAGGCTTCTCTGTCCGTGAAGTTCTCCAGGCAGGAATACTGGAGTGGGTTGCCATTCTCTTCTCCAGGGGATCTTCCCAACCCAAGGATTGAACCCAGGTCTCCTGCATTGCAGGCAGATTCTTTACCATCTGAGCCTATTTACATGTCACTGTTCTCAGTTCAGTTCCGTTCAGTCTCTCGGTCATGTCCGACTCTTTGTGACCCCATGGACTGTAGCATGCCAAGCTTCCCAGTTCATAACCAACTCCTGGAGCTTGCTCAAACTCATGTCCATCAAGTCGGTGATGCCATCCAACCATCTTATCCTCTGTTGTCCCCTTCTCCTCCTGCCCTCAATCTTTCCCAGCATCAGGGTCTTTTCCAATGAGTCAGCTCTTCACATCAGGTGGCCAAAGTCACTGTTCTAGAACACATTTAAATCCTACCATGTAAAGACCACTTACATAACACTGTATATAGATCCACGGTTCCTTTCTAACCAGCATGTTTGACCATAATATCTGGATTTTCATAAAATACAAAATAATTTTATCTCAATCTCTTATGAAAATCTCAAATTTTCACCTTCCAACCGATTCCAGTCCTGAATCTTGCAGCATTTCTGACCAGCTCTTTGTTGTTAATATCCTCAGGACTTCAGTGGAAGGACACACAGAGGCTTTTGTTTCTTTAAAAAACCCAAAATGAAATCGTTGTTTTATCTCATTATCACATATAATACATAATCATTTTAAAATTCAAATAGGGCAAAAAAAATGTGTATGAAAGAAAGAAAAAAATCCCTTTCGTAAAACAAAGTAAAATTCCCTAAAGTCCTATCCATCAGAGAAGGCCACCATGAACATTTGGTGACCCCATTCTCTCTGGCCATTTTCTGATGCCTCACACACACACACTGTTCAGAGAAGTAGGATCATATTCAACATATTTCTAACATATTCACTTTTGTTCATTATTCTCTACTTTGTCTTTATTCTTGCTCACGAGCCTATTGCAAGTGAGAACAGCCTGGCGTGTTCTTCCACAGCTGGAGTCTTGACTCCACAGAGCCCTGAGGTCCCACATTTTGGTGATCTTATAATTATGTCTATTAGGAAACGTTTCCTTACAACTACACCAGGGACTATTTTTCAGCCATTAAAAACAACGAATTAAATATGTACCAGAAGACTTGGAGCCATTCCCAGGAAGCACTGTTGAGTGAGAAAAGCAAGATATGGGGAAGCATGTTATTATATGATGCCATTTTGTAAAGGGAACACTGATGTCCCACATGTGTGTGGGTCATGTGCATTCTGTGCAAGGTTGGGTGAAACGGAGAGAAATTTGGCAAGATACATCCACAACTGTTACATGAGTTATCTGAGGTGAAGGCAGGATGCAGGAGGGGAAAGGAGGGGGAAAGGGAGACAGAGCCAAGCATGAAAGAAAAGAGTGCATTTAGAAAACCACATATGATCACAGGATTTGTGCATTTATATAGAATTATGTATATTAGTGGACATTTGCATAAAGAAATACATTTTAAGTGAATGTTTAAGCAAAGAAGGCAAATATATCTCCCTCTAAGAAAGTGTGGTATGTAACAACAACCCAGATTTATCAAGTGACAAGTTGGAGAAAGAGAGCTCTCCAGACAGAATTCCAGTTTCCTGCCAAGTGTCTGTAAACGGCTGGCTCCGGTGGTGGCCGGGCAGGCTGGCTCTGGGCCCCGACTCTGGGTCACCTTGTGCAGTGACTTCTCTCCTCCAAGCCTTTGTTTCCCTTCTGTGGAACTGGAGGAGATGAACTCTATGACCCGGGGAGTTGATGAAATGCAAGAATGCCAAACCCAGGCACTTAGTGAGCATGCAGAAAACCAAGCTCCTTTTGCTGTTATAGACTTTCATCTAAAAATTAGTTTTTCATCATTGGGCACACCCTTTCAGGGCTACGTTTCTGAGATCATTAGCCAGTACCAGAATTGCTTATTTCCAAAACTGTTAAAGTGTTAGGAATTTGGATGGGGAGAAAAACAAGGACATTTGTTCAGTCCAAACCTCTAGCTTTGCCAGTGGGAAAATGAAGGTCATATAGGTGGGAGGCGGCAGGGCTGGGGCAGACCCCAGCCCCCTTATACCCTATGCAGTGCTTTCCCACCGCGCCTCTGACTTCTTCCTATAATTATTGGACTCACTGTCATTACCCAGTGAGTAATGGGGATGGGGTTAGACAAGGGACTTTTTGGGCCAAGACCATTTCTCTTGGCCCTGGACTTGCTTTTGCATATGGTAGCTTCTTCAGCACTTTGCACCCCTTTCTACTGTGTCATCCATGAGCACATGCATGTGTGTGCAGACACACAACATGCATACACACACACACACACCCATGGTTCAACTCAGCCAAGTGCAAGGGATTTGGGAGCATACATCTATCTCGCAGTTACTTTTCCCCTTGACTTGGCCTGGGATTGTCGTTCTGGTCCCACAGCTCCTCTGAAGGTGACAACCGTGGGTAAACGCATTCATCAGTCCCCTGGGAGGAGAAAGGGACCAGCCTGGATGGTGTGCAGTGAGCTTAGAGGAGGGGAGGGACAGGTCAGAGAGGTAAACCCTGAGCGGAGGATCAGATCGTGGAAGGTCTTGCAGGCCTTTGTAAGGTGGTGGCTTTTACTAATACTTATTCTAAGTATTACCCCATCACCAATTCACTGGACATGAGTTTGAGAAAGCTCCGGGAGATACTGAAGGAATCCTGGCGTGCTGTAGTCCATAGGGTTGCAAAGAGTCAGACACGACTGAGCGACTGAACAACAAAAATTCTGGGAAGAAGGATGAAAAGAAAAGGAGAATCAAGGGGCAGTTTAAATTCTGAGCAGAAGGATAACATTCTCGGGCCTATATCTCAGCAGGATCACTTGGATGCTGTGCAGAGAGTTCACTGTAGTACGTATTGAGAAGCAGGGAGACCGGTTAGCAGGTTGACGCATTCCAGATAGAAGATGGTGGTGACTTGGATGAGAAGGGTGGCAGGGCAGTTAGTGAGATTGTGCTGATTCTGGACTTATTAGATTGTATTTTAAAGATGGGGTCAGTGGGAATTGCTGGTGGATCAGATGTGGAGTGGCTCCGCAGGTAAAGAATCCACCTGCAATGCAGGAGACACAGGAGATGCAGGTTCGATTCCTGTGTCAGGAAGATCCCCTGCTGGAGGAAATGGCAACCCACTCCAGTATTCTGGCCTGAAAAATCCTAAGGACAGAGGAGCCTGGTGGGCTACAGTCCATGGGGTCTCAAAGAGTCAGACACAACTGAGCGACTAAGCATAGATGTGGAGTGTGAGAGGAAAAAGAAAAGGAGAATCAAGGGGCAGTTTAAAAGATAGTGATGTCAGGCACTGTCAATTTTCAGATGAACGAGGCCTATCCTCACTTTTGACGCAGACAGTTCTCTCCCTGAGATCTTGTCGTCTGGGACAGGATCTCTGGTGGATGCCCAGGATCCCGGAGGGGAGGATGTGAGCCCTTACTAACCTCCTCCATTCCCGCCGACAGGTATTTCTTCAACTGCGACAGCCTCATCCCCCTCAAGAGGAAGAGGAAGTACTTCAAGGTCTTTGAGGTCACCAAGACTACGGAGAGCTTTGCCAGCAAGGTCCAGAGCCTGGTACCGGTCAAGTACGAGGTCATCGTGACGACCGGCTACGAGCCCGGGGCGGGCACTGACGCCAATGTCTTCGTGACCATCTTTGGGTCCAACGGCGACACGGGCAAGCGGGAGCTGAAGCAGAAAATGCGCAACCTGTTTGAGCGGGGCAGCACCGACCGCTTCTTCCTGGAGACGCTGGAGCTGGGCGAGCTGCGCAAGGTGCGCCTGGAGCATGACGGCAGCGGCTGCTGCGCGGGCTGGCTGGTGGACAGGGTGGAGGTCACCAACACCAGCACCGGGGTGGCCACCATCTTCACCTGCGGCAGGTGGCTGGACAAGAAGCGGGGCGACGGGCTAACCTGGAGGGACCTCTTCCCTTCCGTCTGAGCGCTGCAGGCCCGCCCTCTCCCTTCGCACCAGCTCGCCCCGACCACACCTGCCACGCTCCCCCAGGGCTTTCAGGAGTCCTTTCCTGAAAGCCTCCTGGAGCTGGCACTGGGGGGCCAGAGCTCCCTGGCCCTTCGGAGGTCACTGTGGGTGATGGCTGGTGCGGTCCCACCCTCTCCCGGGTCTCCTGAATCTATAGGAATCCATCATGTGTGTCATAATCTGTGGCTGCCCGAAAATAACTTTTGGCATTTTCTTTTTCGGTAACAGTAGTGACTAGGCTGAGACTTGCTGCTGGGTGTGTATGGGAAATTGGGGCTTCACCCAGGGGATAGAAGTGGGGAAGAAGAGGTCCTCAAAGTGATGTATTTTAAGCAAGAACTAATTAACACTTCCCCCCCTAAAAATAATGGGGCTAATTAAATTATTACCAACCACACCCTGCAATGAATTCATCTCAGCATCTGCTCACTTAGAAACACATCCTTTTCCCCAGTTTCAATAAATCCAGTGGCCAATGGAGAAAAACATCAGGAGGAAGAATTTTAGCTGAAAGAATTTATGAGCCTGTGAACAGATACCTGATTCTTTCCATCACCTTTCAAAGAACACATTGCCAAGTGCCCACGGCTGCCCCAGCCAGAGATAACACAGTTGAGACGCAGAGACCTGAGCAGGTGATGAGTTGCAGGCAGTAGAAGGGAGAGGTTGCCTGGAACAGCCTGGTCCCTGCGCACGGGGCCTGGGAGGACAGGGGGACATCTGTGGTGCTTAGCACCTGTCACCTGTGGCTCGCTGTGGGCAATGTGGACGGACAGCTGAGAGGGACTGGAAGAAGATAAAGGTGTGGTCTCTGCCCTTGACGGGTGACCCTGATGGAGAGGCAGCCGGAGAGCCCCATATCTGTGTGGCCCTCCAGCTGTGTGTGGCGCACACACACACACACACACACATGTGCTCACACACACACTCCCTGATCAACCATCACAAGAGTGCAGCAGAGCTCAGCCCCTGACTTCTCATTTTCCTGCAGAGGGCGGGGTGGGACTGAGCAGAAAGGAGCATCAGGCCAGGAAGTCTTCCTGTAGGAGGCACCCGGAATCAGCATTTCTGCCATGTCACCACAGGCCCTCTAACCCAGGCAGGCGTAAACTTGGTGAGGCTTCCTGCCTCTGCACTCTCAGAGACCTTTTCGAGAGAGGCCGCCGCAGTAAGCACAGGCCCAGAAGCAGCAAGAAGCAGGCCTGAGTCCCAACTCTCCCTTTTCCCTGTTGGGAGAGATTGGGCACATTATCTCATGTCTCAGGCCTCAGTTTTCTCATCTGTTAAATAGGAAGAATAATACCAACTTCGTAGGTTATTATGAAGACTAAGTGAGTTAAAATGCAGACCAGTTAATTCAGCACCTGCAATGAAGGGTTTGTCCATCATATTGAATAAGCAGGACTCAAGGGGCTAGGGTAGGATCGGGGAGCAGTAATCATTAAACTGCTTTCTCTGTGTCTTTTTCTGGAGCTGCTTCTTCCCCTGTCCCTGGGCGAAAATTAAGGCAAGCCTCATAACTCTTCTGGACTCTCTTAGGTAATAAAACGTCCAACAGCCTCTTTAAAGCCGCAAAGTCCATCTCAGTTTTGTAATTTAAATGTTTGGCTCCAGTACAAAGACCAAAGCATTCCACTTAGAGTTGAGTCTCCTCCCATCCCCCAGCTCAGTCCAGTCCCAAGCGGGAACCGAAGTGAGAAAACAAAAGTGTGTGTGTGTGTGTGTGTGTGTGTGTGTGTGTGTGTGTGTGTGCAGACGTATATGTATGAGTATGGAGTCAGCCTCACCTCCTGTCCCCACCTTGCACTTTTACTCCTGACCCTGATACCCCACACCTGGGGGAGGGAGGAGAGGTGAAGACGGCAGCTTCCTGTTGGGGGCCCCAGTGTGGTCAGCATCCTTCTTCCTGGACTGGCAGCGTCTGGAGCCTTCCTCCCATGAGCATTTGTGTGGGCTCATTCTCAGGCCCCTCACCTCCCTCTCCCACTGTGTCTGCTTAGAATCTAAGACACCCGAAAGGAGATTCTCTGGCAGCCTTTGCTCTAACAAATCCTGGGCACTCAGGCCACCCTGCCATCAGCAGTCGGTCAGCCCATCCTTCACTCCCACAATCTCTCTGGATGCGGCAGGGCGCTGTGACCTCAGCTGAGATGGACACATCCCCCTCTCCAAATAGCCCCATTGAAACCCCAGTCATAGCTTTGAGCAAAAGGGCAGCCCAAAGGAGGGAAGGGGTACTCCCGGCACACCCTCAGCTCTTTCTGAAAGTCCTGCCCTCGTATCCGTGCCCACCTCCTTCTCAGGATCTCCGTCCGTCTGTCCTTTGTCATACCTGGAGGGTGATGCTCAGCTCAAAGTTAAAAGCGCTTTCTGCCATGTCCTCTGGCAAGCGCTACTCCATCCGAGCATGGAATGTAGCATCCACTGTTGATCCAGCCAAGACTGGGAAGGGAAAGGCCCCGTGTTCTTTTCAGTTGCTGATGTGCTCAATAAATGTGGGCTTACTCTTACTGCAAAGGGCTGGACTGGTTTGGGAATATACCCCATGATGTGCGTCAACTTTCTTTCCGTCTCTTCTTAGCCCCGGCTCTTCTCCCTCCTCACCAGGGACTTGTGAAGATGGGATGAAACTACTGCCGTGAAAGCTATCAAAACTGTTCTCCCTTCTGTTCATCGGGCTGCACTTCATCTCCCGAAGGGCACCTCCTACCCGCCTGGTTTCCCCAAGTCCCTGGGGACCTGGGCCAGTTACCCCGGCTGTGTGTCCAGCAATGCCACGCACTGTCCATCTGCTGAGCCTCTGGTTGGAGCCATTCCTCGGGCTCCAAGTCTCCTCCCCACCATCCAGCCCTCCCTCCCACCCTGTTCTGAGGCTGCAGGCCAGTCCGGCCTCCCTGCTTCAGAGGGGCAGGACTTGAGGACTAGAACGGGCCTCTGACTCACCAAGGCTCCCACAGGGACAAGGCTGTGCTTGCAGAGGATGCCCTTGGCACTCCCAGAAGAGGTGGGGAGGAGATGCGCAGGGAGGTGGACAGGGCAGTCTTGCGGAACCCTCCTGCATCAGGTCCCCTCCCCACAGATCTGCTTCTTCGGGCTGGACACTGCCCTTCCCTTGGGGCCCTGAAGTCCCCCTTCCCCCTCCCAGGCTGCAGGTGACCCCACTTAGCAGGGTACTGGGGAGAAGGGCAGTGAAAGGAGGGGCCCCTGCTGACCCTGCTCACACCTGCTGTGCCCTCTCTGCCTTGAGGAGGGAATGCAGGGCCCCTTCCCCAGAAGCCTCCCAGAGTAGGCACACTCCAAATCTACCCCCCCCACCTCCCGACCAGCTCCACCGGCCCCTGGGCTGGGCTCCACCAGTCAATTCCTGGAAGGGCAGCAAGAAAAGCTGGGATTGGGAAAAGTAAGCAGGCAGCCCAGGATGCAAATGTTAAGGAGGCACTCAACCTCAACCTTGTGCAAAGGCAGGGCTGGCACCCAAGAGTGGGACTTCCTTAAACATTGCACCCAGGGCACCTTGCTTGCCTCTTCATCCCTAGTCCTGGCCCTAGAAGAAAGACATTCTTCTACCCAAAGGCCCCACAAAGCTCTGTATCCCAATAGTCCTAATCACAAGACTGAGACTCAACAGCCAGCAGTGGGGAAGGTGATCAGCCCCTTCTCTATGGAAGGTGTCTCCTGAACCCGCCTCGCCTCCAGGTCCCTGGTCATTGCTGGGGCATCAGCCTTGGCCAGTGGCACTGGATAGTCCCTTTCCTCCAACCAAGACAAAATCCCTTAAAAGTGAAAGTCGCTCAGTCACGTCTCACTCTTTGCGACCCCATGGACTGTAGCCGGCCAGTCTCCTCTGTCCGTGGAATTCTCTAGGCCAAAATACTGGAGTGGGTTGCCATTCCCTTCTCCAGGGGATCTTCCCAACCCAGGGATCAAACCCAGGTCTCCCACATTGCAGGCAGGTTCTTTACCATCTGAATCACCAGGGAAGCCCCAAAACCCCTTAAAGTGAAGAAAACAAAACAAGGAATAGTCTTGTCCTCCTCTGTTCCTCTGTTCTATTTCCTACCGTCTTCTCCAGACCTGCTCATTCCTTCCCCAACCCCACCCCTCTCCCGCATTGACAGCTCATATTGCTAGAAAATTCTTTTTTATAAAAATGGCTTCTTGAGTGCCAAGGTTTATATCAGTACCATCTTTCGTCATTTGATTCTGAGACAAGTTTGCATTAAAGAATATTTGGAGAGAATCTTAAATGTAAAGCTATAACTACAAACAAAGTATTTCCAAATAAAAACCTACATGTGTGTTAAGTCGCTTCAGTCGTATCCAACCCTGTGCAACCCTATGGACTACCAGGATCCTCTACCCACAGGGATTCTCCAGGCAAGAATACTGGGGTGGATTGCCATGCCCTCCTCCAGAGGATCTTCTGAACCCAGGGATCAAACCTGCATTAGCAGTCAGGTTCTTTACCCCAAGCACCACCTGGGAAGCCCAAATACCCCAGGGTCCACATTAAAGAAAAAGACTCATTTGCAATTAGCACAAGTTATTTACACAGGAAATGTTACACCAAAGTCTAAGAAACACTTTTGCTCTGAAGCAGGTTAAACAAAAGCCTTCAATCATGTTTTCTCAGCTCTTTGAGCAACACTCTCCTTCCAAGATTTTGTTATAAGTAAACACAACTCACTTCAGATATACCCCTTCTGAATTCTGATTACGTGGGCTCCAAATGGAATAAGGTCAGAAGTACTATAGATGCCCACTTCAGGAGGACCCTTGGTGCTGTATCTTTGTCCTGAGCAGGGACCCCCATTGCTCTCAGTCTCTTGGCAGAGGTTGATACCGGGCATCATCCACCTGCAAACAGCCAAGTGCCCTGAGTGAGGGCAAGAGAAGTCTCCTGGGGACCTCAGCCTTGGACAAAGGGAGTATGGGCAAGGACATTTGACATTTCTAGTCCTAAATTCGAAAGGAGAAGGTTGGGTAGCGTCACTGGAATGGAAGGAGGAGGGCAGTGATGCTAATGAGCTGGAGGGAGGGTGGGTTCTGTGCTTCTAGCCTCAAGGCCTCAATGTGGCTTTTCTTCTAGACTTTCCAGCTGAGTGTGGAAAAGACTTTTAATCAAGCAGTTATTCCTAGTGCCTTGATTTGAAGGCCTCAGCCACCAGCCCTTCTGCTG